TATGGGATTTATGTCTGCTGAGCTACAATCATACTGTTCCAACCAAGAATATGAATTATGTTAACAACCTAATGGGAATTGAGATGTAGCAGTAAAAAGAGATGAGTCCAATCACCTTTGTTAAGTACCCACGAAGTCCTTCATCAACGTTGGAGCTTCCAAGAACAAGGTAAAAGCCTGGTTTGCTATGAACCCAAGGCAAGAGAGATGCTAACATAAATGCTAACACCATTCTCATCCTGGCTTGAATGTTCTGCAACCCAAGATTCTCAACGTTTGATCCTCCATCAACCTATACACAAAACCAACTACCATTTCATATGATCATCATCTTTTTGGGTAGACCAACTGCTTGTGATTTGTGTATATGAACACTTTACCTTATACCGAGGTCTCTGGCCTGTAACCGTTCGAAATAAAGATAGAACAGCTGAAACAACACCATCTATGCAAACATCAAGATGCCATGCACCGATCTCCTCTGCCAGCTGCTTTGCACGCATTTTTGTTGCCTCGGAACTGCAGAATTGAGGTTTCAGAACGGAAATCGTTTCATGTTTTCTGCAAAAGTCCCAGTCACGTCCATATTGCTACTGTTAACTAATTTACCTGTTTTCAGACCCCATAAAGACAGTGTAGAATATTCGCTTTGCAAACTCTTTGCTATCAGTAGGAAACTCCCCACTCGCATAATTCCCAATTCGGTTCGCATCAGCCTTCACTTGCTCGTCTCCTTTACCAATTTCTACACAAGGAGATATCAGCATCATCAAAACAAATTATTCATGTGGTTTTCAAAAATAAGACAAACACAGTTCAACATACCTTTAACAACAAGTTGGCACATGCAGCCAACAATAGCTGCAACGGAGGAGCTGTCTGCTCCACCAGAAAGGGGAAGTAAAAACCCTGAAGCGCCACTTCTTCTCAAATAGTCCCATAGCCAACAGGCAGGACCAAAGGCTATTTCCTCTTGTGGAGAGTGGTACATGATCTACATACTAATGAATATTAGAACTGAAAACTTAAGATCAAAGATATGGGAGCAGAGGAGGATTGAGAACCTTCTTAGGACTGCTTAGTGTCATTTTTAGGTTAAAGGACTGCGTCAGCTTATAGGGCACGGATACTGAAGATACTTTAACCTTGCAGCTTGCTTGTTCCTGAAAACTACTTATGGATCCGCGTAGACTAGCAACCTTTCTCAGACAAAGAAAGCAAAACAGTCCTTAAGAAAACTTTCATTTATACATCGCAAAACAGAGAAAGCAAAGTTCAAGTGTAACTATGGGTTACCGCATCTAGATCAACTTGGGAAATGATGACCTCAACATCCCTCAACGAGAATTGTGAACCTTGAGCTACAACATCTCCGTTTACAACAATGCATGCACATCCATCTAAACTTGGGATAAAAAATGAACAAATCAAAATAGTCACTCACAAAAAAAGTAGATAAGATTTACTCAAATTTTAACAATTTCAATCCTTCAAGGCTCTTTGAACATACCGTAATACAACCGTCCACCATCGCATCCCTGTTGATTACTGTACATATAAACCCCACCACGAGCGTGAGTAGCCCCCATGAACGCATTCAAACGGATATCTAGCTTTCTCAGTTGGTGATGACTCCCACTTGCATTCATAAATACTTCTACCCCGTTCAATGCAAGATCAGCATGAGGAGGCACTGGACTAAACAGTTCCTCACAGACTTCAGCAGCAACAGCTCTGATGAAGGAACAAAACAATCAATAAATTTTAGAATTGCAGACAAAATCACTGAAAGCAGAGTGAAGCATTATAATTCAAACTCACGTGTCGATAAACTGGATGTAACCATAGCCAAAAGGAGCTGTTTTCTGTGACAGAGCCTCTGAGATTTCAATAGGGAGCTGAAACTCCTCGAGCTCTCCTCTCTGCTTCCAAGCAGTGAACCACCTCAGCTCTCTATAGTTGCCATCGTTTGCGAGCCACATTTTTGGTCGAATCATGATGATTCTTCTGTTCATACAGAGAACCTGACAATTGTACCGCTCTGCTCCTTTAATCACTGGCATTCCTATGCTGCACAATATTCCATCCGTCCAATCACCAAGCAACAGCTCCTTCAAACAATCCCACCTGAAAGAAAAAGAGTATGTTGACTAAGCAATTCAAGCGATTTGTCATCAAAGGGAAACTTAAAAGAGAAGCATTACGCGTGAGTGACGGTGTCTAGTTCCAAGAAGTGATCCTCGCAGCCATAGCCAGTGACCTCGAGCTCAGGTCCAAGCCTGATGACAGCACCGGCAGCTTTAGCCTCGGCGATCGAAGCCTTGATGTTCTTCATGTTGCATTCGAATTCCATTGCCCATTGGTTCAAGTTACACGTCGCGGCCTTCAACAGCCTCATCGTCGTCGCCCAAAGAGAAGACAAGTAGTGTCACTCTACATACAGTATAGAGTAAACAGTTATTATCGTGTGATTTCTTAAATTTTCCAATTTCTAGGACAAACATGAGTAAAACGGTTTCAATCCAAAGGAGGAACATCAAATGGACCTAATTTGGGAACCGGAAGAGGTAAGGAGTCCGAAATGTACCTCTCTGACTCCACATTGTGGAAACTCACTTGTAGTGTATAAGATGAACTAGATGGACCCATACTTACCCAAACATGGATTAATAGCTTCTACACATGACTATGAGGACAAACATGAGTGAAACGGTCTCAATCCAAGGGAGGAACATCAAATGGACCTAATTTGGGAACCGGAAGAGGTAAGGAGTCCGAAATGTACCTCTGTGACTCCACATTGTGGAAACTCACTTGTAGTGTATAAGATGAACTAGATGGACCCATACTTACCCAAACATGGATTAATAGGTTCTCCACATTACTATGAGGACAAACATGAGTGAAACGGTCTCAATCCAAGGGAGGAACATCAAATGGACCAAATTTGGGAACCGGAAGAGGTAAGGAGTCCGAAATGTACCTCTGTGCCTCCACATTGTGGAAACTCACTTGTAGTGTATAAGATGAACTAGATGGACCCATACTTACCCAAACATGGATTAATAGGTTCTCCACATTACTATGAGGACAAACATGAGTGAAACGGTCTCAATCCAAGGGAGGAACATCAAATGGACCAAATTTGGGAACCGGAAGAGGTAAGGAGTCCGAAATGTACCTCTGTGCCTCCACATTGTGGAAACTCACTTGTAGTGTATAAGATGAACTAGATGGACCCATACTTACCCAAACATGGATTAATAGGTTCTCCACATGACTATGAGGACAAACATGAGTGAAACGGTCTCAATCCAAGGGAGGAACATCAAATGGACCAAATTTGGGAACCGGAAGAGGTAAGGAGTCCGAAATGTACCTCTGTGACTCCACATTGTGGAAACTCACTTGTAGTGTATAAGATGAACTAGATGGACCCATACTTACCAAACATGGATTAATAGGTTCTACACATGACTATGAGGACAAACATGAGTGAAACGGTCTCAATCCAAGGGAGGAACATCAAATGGACCAAATTTGGGAACCGGAAGAGGTAAGGAGTCCGAAATGTACCTCTGTGACTCCAATTGTGGAAACTCACTTGTAGTGTATAAGATGAACTAGATGGACCCATACTTACCCAAACATGGATTAATAGGTTCTACACATGACTATGAGGACAAACATGAGTGAAACGGTCTCAATCCAAGGGAGGAACATCAAATGGACCAAATTTGGGAACCGGAAGAGGTAAGGAGTCCGAAATGTACCTCTGTGCCTCCACATTGTGGAAACTCACTTGTAGTGTATAAGATGAACTAGATGGACCCATACTTACCCAAACATGGATTAATAGGTTCCACACATTACTATGAGGACAAACATGACTTGAAACGGTCTCAATCCAAGGGAGGAACATCAAATGGACCAAAATTTTGGATGTGGTGATTGGTGAACACTAGCCACTAGGCGATGTGAATTGTGAAGTATGAAGTATGAAGACAAGTTTGTGCCTTTGCGTACATTGAAAATAACATATATGGCTAGGCTAGGCTTGGATGGGGACAACACTTGAATTCTAAGGCCATATTTAAGTTGACATCTAAGGCTGTGCTTGAATGGAGACAACATCGAAGGTCGTCATGCTTGAATGGAGACAACGTACAGGATATGCTTTGAATCGAGACAAAGGTGTGAGGCAACCGCCTTTATATTAAGATCCATATCTTTTGTTTTTCAACTTGTTTTCGCGTTGCAAGAGAAAAAGAAAATGGCGTTTTCAAACTTTTTTTCAACGATGTGAAGATAACATCTAGCAATCTTAAAAAGCTTAACCCCAAGATGGGCATATGCTTTCTCATTCTTTATGAGATATGTTGGTCATTGCAAACGTAATCGTTTTTCTGGTCCCTCGAAACCGTGCTATTTCGGTTGGCACAAACACATTGACAGTATGGTTTTCTGATGTAAACCACTAAAAAGGAGAAAATATCTCAAATATCTATACAGAATTACTTATAAATCTTAGTTTGATCATCAAACATACACAATTTAGGGTTTTAATAACAACTGCAACATATAATGAGAGAAGACATCGGTCAAAATCCCCAAAGAAGACGTTTAATGTTTAGATCATATCGCATTCGAATCACACATAAACATTATTTGCATCTTTATTTTCATATAAATATAAATAACTAACAGAGTTTTTGTTTTTATTGAACTACAATAACTCTACCAAAAACTATAATCTAATAGACTAATACAAAGGTTATTCACAACCCCCCTACCATTCACCCCTAATGAACAAAACTAAAAAAGATCCAATCAAGAAACAAAAAACTCTAAGAACCCTAAAAAAGATTTCATCACCATCAGATACTTAGTACTCAGATTATTAGCTTATAACTTGCTATACTATACCTCACCACCATACCACTAGACATCTTCATCTTCATTTGCTCATAACTTAGATCTTACATTCTCTTCCATACGCATCATCCTCCATTAGGCATTGTCTTTAACTCATTAACCGTGGCTCTAATCTGCTCTTGAACCAATTCTAATCTCCTCGAGTAAACTTCCAACTCCAGAATCTGTTGCCTCCTCCACCGTTCATCTCCTAATCCCTTACCTCCACCACCACCAAACCCAACATTCAGCGATTGCATCAGCATTGGGCTCAACACACCTAACGCATGACCACCACCTCCCGGGAATCCTCCAACAGCAGCCATCATCATCCCCGTCGTACCATTCATCATCTCTTTGATCATCGGTGACACACAATTCCTCACCGTCTCTTCTATCAACCCTCCTAGATTCCGCCCCTCACCGAAATCACCAACGGCAGCTACACTCTCGTTAAGGTTAACATTTGGAATTGCCCCGTCACCGAGAACGGACTTATCCTCATCGATCTTTCCTACTCTCGATCGTGATCGTTTTCTCGAACCACTACTGCTACTCATCGTCACTTTCTTCTCCATCCCGTTCTCAGAATCAATCTCCACATTCGGATTAACAATGGAGACGTTGAAAGCTGAGCTACCATTGGTGTTGTTATTTACATGGTTGGTTTCCTCGAAATCCATCACATTGTTATCTTCAAACCCTATGATTTTGCCGGTTTGATTCCAGATTTTCCTAGAGATATCGAAAGTCGCTTGATCGTGGGGGCTTTTGAAGAACACCTCTTTGCCGGAGCTGATCTTGCTCATCACATTCCGGTACTTCTTCTTCAACCGCCGGAGCTTCTCCACGAGCTGGTTCTTGTTGAATTCCAGCTGGAGCTTCGATTTTATCTGCTCGTAAAACGGCGCCGTGTCGGGCGGATGCGAGCTGGTGCCGCGGTGGCTCGCGATGTAATCGAGGAAGCCGCGGAGGAGCTCGATCTCGTCCTCGTCGGTCCACAGCCTCTGGAAGAGACGCCTGGAGTCGTCGATCGGCGGTCTCTGATGGACGATCTCGGTCATGCGGTGCCATTTCGGATCGGAATCGGCGTGGATCGCGGCGACGGGTACGGCGGATCCGGAAGGAAGAGCGACGGTTACGGTGCCTGTGGAGGAAGACTTCGCCGTCGCGGAGAGTAGCGGAGCCGTGGAAACGGCGGAGACCATAGACGGAGAATTCAGATCTTCGTATTCGGGATCGTCGTCGTCTGCCTCGTTTGGCTCTGGCATGACAACATCTTCGTTCTCACGCAAATCCTCGTCGGAGTCTGTCTCTCCTCCTCCACCTCCCACTTCTACTCCGCCACCGGCGCTGCCGTCTTCCTCCAGCTCCGGCGATTCGACGGAGAAAACAGCGTCACGCTCATCCGATGTCATCACCACGAAAAACTCAAAACGCAGCTAGAGAAACCAAAATTGGAATTAGAATCGTATTAGCTCCGATCGAATCAGGATAAAGAGAAGAACCAGATCCAGATGGAGATTGGGGGAAAGAGGAATTGGGTTCACGAGGATTGATACGCTTTGTGTTTCTCGGTGGTAGGGCATGAGAATCTTCGACCCAGCCAGGGCTAGTTTCGGTATTCACGAAACATAATAATGACTAGGCATTGCAGGCAAGTGGTCCAGACTCGTACCCGTGCTTGGTTGTTGTGGTTTGGTCTGAAAAGTCAACACTCAACCGCAACCGCAGCTCACAGAAAACCCGTTCCTCAAACGCGATTCTTTGTTTGGGCGTTGACTAAAAGAACGTCTCGAGGGACCGAAGGCGTGTGTGTATGCAAAATAAATACTTTACTTTTTTGTTCGAGACGAATGTGTAGACGTGTAAACTTGTTTTTACTCAGAAAGTTATAAAAAGATAATTCGACAGAGAATAAAAGTATTTACCAAGTTCAATTCCAAATGGAGATAAAAGATACAAAGCAAGTCAACAAGAACCGAAATTGAGTTTTTCATTTTTACCTTCTCTTTTTAGAAATGAACAATTTGAAACAGAGCTTTTATTTGGTTAAAGCAAGTGTATATCTTCTTCTAACTGTCATCATGAAGAAGAAGAAGAATGTGTGTGATGAAGGAGAAGAGCTTTAGTATAAACGGAACTTCTCCTTGGTGTTCTGGAAAACTTGTTCAGCAATAACGGCGCCGTTTCCGTCTGCTTTCTTAATCACCAGGTTAGATTTCTGGTAAACCCCAGTCCCTCTCAGAGCATCAGCTATGAAGTCATCAAACCCGATGGCTATCGCTGCTTCGGCTTTGGCTCCATAAACCAATCTCTGTTTATTAGCAGAGACATCGTTTAGACCCCATGACAATGAAGAGATAAGAAAGATGGGTTTGTGCAGGTATATTTTTACCTTGAGTCTCGATAGATGGATGGCTCCGAAGCACATGGGACATGGCTCACAAGATGCATAGATCTCGCATTCTGATAGCTCGATTTGGTTAAGTTTCTTGCATGCCTGCGCAATCACAATGTATTCAAAACCAGTTTTAGCAATGTTTAAAGAATTTGATCAATCTATCGAGTACTCTTTTTTACCTCTCTAATGGCTGTGACTTCAGCATGTGCAGTAGGGTCTGTGTATTTCAGAACCATATTGTGACAGCTAGCGACGACCTCATTCTTATGAACAATCACCGCACCAAATGGGCCACCATCACCGCACTCAACTCCCTTGTAAGCTTCTTCAACAGCTTGCGTTAGGAATTTGTGGTCGCTGTCATGCACAGCTGATCAAAGACAAAGTAGAAACATTAACCATGATAATTTCAACTAAACTAAGAATGTTCCTGTTAAACTAGTGGAAAGTGAAAAAAGGGCGTATCACAATTGATGCATTAACCATCACAAGAATCATTAATGGTCAAGCTTTTCAGAACATTTGGTGGAACCATAATTGGGGGAATACTACAGTCATCACTTTATAAAATGTCAAGGTCTATACCTTCTTGGTGACCGGCAAATGCTGTAGCCACGGAGATGGTTCCGTCTATTGCTTCCACTACACAGTTCAATGAGAGAGCAATCAGAACCTCCAACCACGAAACATCAA